CAGGAGTCTGGGTCGCATAGGTCCCGTTAGGCTCCCTGGCTGGGGACCTCAGGATGACCGTACTCGATGGTTAGAGACACTGGCTGGGTGTCGTAAACAGTGGCTTTCGTGCATCTTATCAATTTTTTTGCAAACTTGAACCGCTGAACTTCTCCATTTTCTGTTCGACTTTACCTTCAACTTTCCTGTCTTCTCATTATTCATCCAAAGGGGCAGTAATGAGATTGCAGCCAAAACCGGCGCATGAAAGTGCATGGTTAATGGTTGTTCAAACAGAAACTAAAACCGGCGTGCTTCGAACCCTTCGGTCCGAGGTTAATGACCCGCCACCGTCACCCAACTTTGCTGGTAGGCAACTTTGCTGTCGTCCGGTTGAATACTATACCTAACCTATCGGGGCCTCATGTGGTCCCGGGGCTTAGGTTACCGGCTTCTATCACTGAACAACAGGTTTTGGTGATTGTGGGGTCCTCCCCGTCTTCTGTTCATCACACTGGTTTGTAATAAACAATAGAAGTGTGTGGTGTTGGCCATGGAAGACCGAATGCTTTTACGAATTGTTTTTGCGAGCATAAGGGGGGGGGATTATGTAGGTGGATTCCGATCGCTTCAGCAATGGCCAAAATGCGACTCCTAATCCTCTTAGATCGGCCGGTGCGAACCAAGTAGAGGGGTCGAAAAACTTCTTGGCTACATTATTTACGTGGTTTGATTCCACTAGGTGTGAAACAATTGAGCTGTTAATGGTCCTAATTACTCCACTGTTCAACCAGACGGGGTGACGCTCACGGACTCGCTCAGATAAACGTCTGCTCGTGCGGCCAATGTACCTTGCCCCACAGGAACGGGTAAATAGGTATACACTGAAGGAGACGGCAAAAACAGGCAATTCCTCTTTGAGTTGAAAGCGCAGGATTGGCCTGCAGATGAACATACTACGCAGTTTAGCCGCGCGGAATACTTTTTCTACAAGAGCTTACGTGTCATCATATTGGCAGTCGTGTCGCCCTTGAAAGGTAGAGATATGTAAACCGGTTTCTCTCTGCAGTAATGGTCTTATTTGGCAACCGGTGCCAACCCAGAATGTTGTCCACAAATCGCACGGGGTATCCGTTTTGAAGGAAAACATTTCGAATAAACCTCAGTTCTGCATCAATTGTATCGTCCATACATATTCTTCGCACCCTGGTAGCGAGGCAATGAATCAGTTTTTTTTCCGTTCCAAAGGCATATAGCTTTTGAAATGGATATACTGATTGTTCCACGATGGTTTCCTGTGGATGGTGCGTTGGATAGTTTTGTCTGATCGACGGCTTAGTTGAACGGTCATGGAACTGGAATGTTAATTATCGCTTTCCAACTTGTCTTGATCTCCCCCCCCTGCCAAACAGGTTGATATAAATTGTGATGTATTAGCCTGTAGAAGAATCACCTCAAACGAGCTTGTTCGCTTTGTATTTGCTCATAATGGGAATGGATGGTATATTCGGACAATAGAAGAAGTAATAGATTCGTAGTCCGAAAGGTTTTCCGTTTCCTTGATTGTTTTCACTTGTGAATGGTAATGTTAGTCTTACTACTGAGGTCGCTTGCATCACTCTGTGCTACCTTACACTCTTCAGGTGTTTAGAGAAACAAATCGGAAACAAGACCTCAAGATCACTATTGAAGCCTATCGCATTGCTTTGGAAAATCAGTTCAGACGCAATAAGAGCTTATCTACTGAACTGGCTGCCATATTACCATTGATTCCAAGCAAGGTGTACGCAGGTGAGTGGCAGTTATATACACCGTTTGTTTGTCTATCTGTCGATCGCTTTCTCTTCTAGTGTGTACCTTATCAGCCTATCTAATCATCATACTATCATTGGTCTATTCTCCTCTTCACCTTCGGTCTTCATAGGTACCATCTTTTCAGACCTTTCTACTACTTCGGGGCGAGCGGAACCCACTCTGCAGGATAGCTCCGATACCGGTAGAACGAACCCGTCCAAAGTGTTGCACAACTTGCTCCTCTGGTTTCATCACAATCTGGATAATGTGGCGACCACAGTGAGCAGATTAAATTCCACGCAATGTTGCTCGTATTGCGGCGGTACATCACGACGAAATTCTACTCGTTCTAATCGTTCGTCCCAACAGAGCAGTTTGGATAACTTATGCCCATCGTCCGGTGACATTGAGTATCGAAAACTGAACCGATCCACCAGTCGTCATATTTTCTCTGACTCATGGCGTCGCGTTGCGCGTGTACGCGAGGCACAATCAATGTACGACTTGTCCGTGGGTGCTGATGAGACGGGTATCATGAAAGATAACCAATCCCATTCACCTTCACGTTTCCCGCCTTGCAATTCCCCGGAACAAATACGCAAACGAATCCAGGTAGGCTCAAAGTTTTCGACATCTAACAGTACGTGGTGTCTGCACAAGTCGAATGGTCTAAGCTAAAAACACCATCCTGAATTTTGCTTTCTACATCAATGTGTATGTTTGTTGAAAAAATACTTCTATTCACTGCACCAATCGCCGATCACACAAGTGCGTTAATATTTCCGTGACTGTAGTGTTAGCCAGTTACTACGCAAAGAGGAATAATGACAAGAAAATTGATGTCCAACACTGGTCGTTTAGATCCTAAAATTCACCCTGGCATCAACACTTCACGTTGACGATAGATAGTCTTGCCGTTGTTCAGCTCAGTATCACACCCTTTCATTGGGGTACTTAACTGTAAAATGTTACTACTGAACTAGGTCGGTCCAGCACTGAGCCTCACTCTAACTGGAGAAGTAATAGAGCAAGTGGATAAGTTTTTTTATTTGAACAGCAACATCTCACCCAACATCTACGCAGCATTGCACGAATCTGGTGGGACAGCCGGACGAACAATGCTGAGGTTAGGCGCAGAGTTTTGGGTATCCGCGGTCGCCCACTGGAGCAAATGGTCGACCTCCATAGATTACGTTGTTTGGGGCATGTGTTGCGCATATTTTGATGCAGTTCACTCTCCAACTCACTGGTCGCAGAAAATTCCACCAAACTCGATTGGCAGATCATCGCTTATCTGACATAGCTGTTCGTGTCCGTTTTGAATCAGAACTAGGGCAAAAGCTAAATGCACTGTCGGGTGGTAGTGTAAATGAACAATGGGATTAGATTAGCCTAGCAATGCACTTCGCAGCGAGCGTTGCTTGTGGATCTGAAGTAGTAGGCCGCCCGAGGCATTGGATATCTGATCAGTCAGCGGCACTGATGGCGAGAAAGCGGCAAATACCAACCACCCGGGATCAAGGCCGGGTTAGGTGGCGTCTACAATGTCATCTCACAAGGAGCCTCAAAAAAGACCCTGAAAACTGGTGGGCAACCATAGGTAGTGAAATGGAAGTAGCGGCTGCATCAGGGAGTTGTTAGAGACTGTTCCAACTGATACTCAACACGGGAGGTTGGCGAACCACAGTTAGTGAAACAATCTGCGACGAAAGTGGGCAAGCTAGTTACCATAGGGAACAACGGCTCG